AAGGGAGGGTTGCGGTCACGTGCCAGGAGGCATCAGGGGGATTGGGGGGGGGGGGGGTGTGTGTAAGCTTCGTGGATGCTCAGAGGAGAAGTCCATTTATTCTGTAGAATCCTTCTGGGTTTAGGAGGTTTTTCTCCTTTTGTCTATAGGAAATCTTTACATTTGGCTAAACGTTTGTGTTGTTAATTTATTTTATTCCCTCTTAATATATGTCCTGTGAGCTACTGAAAGCCAACTGTAAGTAGAGACATAAATCAAGAACAGAAGAAAGCTGTTCATTGTGTGTCCACAGTATCAAAATACGAATCTTGATTCACTGCATAAAAGACTTTGTTGTTAGTCACTGTCCTTGGACTCGACGGTCTTGAGAGCACTGCTTCCTTGCGCTGCCCGCTGCTGTAGCAAGGCAAAGCTGCTACAGTTTGTGCAGGAAAAGCCTCCAGCCCCCCGTTCGGCAGGGCCAGCACAGCTGGCCTCAGGTAAGCAGCCAGGCTGCAGTTTTCCCTGCGGCTCTCGCAGTAAAATCTGGCTGCAGCAGTCTGTGCGGGAAGGTCCCACAAGCCTGCAGAAGGGGATTCTGAAATTGCCACCTGAAGTAAGAAATACAAAAAACAGATTTCCCCAAATCTGGAGTACATAACTGTGCATCAATTTTGTAGCCAATTTTTTACTTCTTAGTTTTGTAGCGTGCAGGTAACGCTTTTTCCACAAAATTACAAGCTCTGAAGTTGAGTGCAGTCAATGAAATAAGCTGTCATTTACAAGTAACTTTGCACATTTTCCTGGGTTTGGATAGAAGGGAACAACTGCCTATCAGTAAACAGTTTTCACATTCAAGCTTTCAAGCTTTCAAGACTAAGCTATTCAGTAAAACAAACACTTCAAAATCTTGATAAGCATATTTGAGTGCAAGGAGAACCCCAGTGGGAAAGGGGCCCTAGTAAAGGAGTGGTGTTGGGTCTGGTTGGTCTTGGCTGCAGTTGCCCTGTTGGTGCTGGAAGAGGGGAGGAGGTGGGAGACAGGTAACTGTCACCTGAAGGGTGATTAGAAAACAGCCCGTTTAGCTTTTGCGAGGCTTTTCGCTGTCTCAGCGGTGTTTGGGACCTTAAAATTTCCTGAGGACTGTCTGCGGACAGTGAGGTGGATAAATACATCCGGCAAGTCTCTTCTGAAGGCAGTGCCTTAGGAGAGCGGTACCCCCGAACGGGGGGGATGCTCTGCGATGGCTGGCACTTTATTCGCAAAGAGGAGTTGCAGTCTTTTGCTACAAAATCATTGGCATCATTATTTAGGCCTGTCTGGTGCAATATTCATTACCGGAGAACATTAGCCTAGCCCCACATTCATTGTTAACAGTGAATAAATAGGATGCAGAATCATGTCCTTTTGTGGGAGGTTGTAATTTATGGCAGTGGCTTAGGAGTGGTGCTGAAAAAATCCTTTTGCTGTATCATAAGTGCCATACGTTGGCATGAGCTGATTTGTGGCTTTCTCGCGGACGTTGCAGTTTTGATAAATGTAATGTTTTACCATTATTTAAATTCCCCTTAACTTTTAGAGAAATATTGGGTGGGTTGGCTCAGCAGGAGAAATAGCTTTCTAGCAGATCTCATTCATTTTAATTTGATGTAAATCTCTGATGACATTTTACAGTTCAGGTGAAATTACAAAGAAGCCAAGGCATTTGTGCATAGGCAGTAAGAATTTGCTGGTTTAGGCTAAGCATAAATACAGTTGTAAAGCTTTCCTAATTGGTTATCTTTCATCTATAAACAACTACCAGGGCGTATATTAATTTTACACATAAACTTGTAACTGCTGCAGTACCAAAAATATAAATAATTCCAGGATTTATAAGAGACACTATATATGTTTTCAAGGTACGTCTGTTGGCGTGTAGTGCTTATTAGTTACAGCGTATGGATGAACTTTGTTTTATTTTGTTCTCTGTATAAGTACGTTTCACTTTCACAGTGATCCTTTACTTAAGGTGACTGATTCTTATTTGCTTATTTTTCAGTGCAAGTGGTCCAGAAAAGGTTTCATTCGAACAAGATGGTGTATTACTGATTGGTAAGTTGCATCTTTAAGTTATTTCTGATAATCTGTATACTATGTATGCTTTCGTTAACTATTTCAAAGAAGGTATTCGTATGTATAGATGGGTCTATTCGTGGAACAGCTTGGTTCCAGAACAGTTGCTTTGCTTTATTATTTATTGAACACATAATGCTCAGTAAGTTGTAATGATGCATGACAAAACGTGATGTTAGTATTCACATGTATGTGCAATTAGCATGGGATAATTCAGGTCACAAGCAACCTCTCAGTCAAGCATGATCAAAAAAGCTTGGTGTCTGTGACCAAGGCCGCAGCAGTCACAGTGTGGAGGTAAAGGCGTCCCCCCACTACTGCTCCCCATCACGGCTGATACAGCTGAGGCTCTGCAGTGTCTCACCTGGGCCAGATACCTCTGCCTGAGTGCATGCAGCCCTCCCCTCTGGGATTTCTGAGGAAAGAGATCGTTCTCTAGGAACTCTTTAAACCAGCCTTTTAAGCCCAGTCCAGTTTCCACTGGAGTCAATGGAGGGACCGTACCTTTAAGGAATGCAGCTTTTTAAAACCAGTTCCTACTATATTACTTTTACTGGAACAGAACTTTTTATTTGTTGTACTCAGGTCAGGATTCCCATTTTAAACCTAAGGTATGGTCCTGTTCTCTGTGAGGTTGCTTATTTTCATCCTACAGTAGCATAAAGCACCTGGCAGCCCAGCGCTCGCTGGTAGGGTTTGATGGAGGGCTGCGGAGAGCAGGCAGCACACCTCTTACCTGTGCACGCATTGACTGCTGAGGAAGCATCCCACTGAGCAAGACTTACTTGAGTTCAATGTAACCTGGCTTTCGTCAAAGCAGAGAGAGTTCCTCATAAGATGTGCTGGGAAAATCTACAGAAGAAACAAACGTTTTTTTGCTCTTGGGATCATCCAACAGCCTAAAGAGGTGGGGGCTGAGGGGAGCGGACAACTGTAGGAAAACAAGTTGAACATCATTATGGTGTTACACGCTAGATCCCTGTCTTCGGAAGAAGCAGTGCCAACTAGCGTTGACAAGAGGTGTATCTCATAACTGAAGCTATTTGCTGTCTGTGTTTGAAAATGCTCTCTTTAATACCAATAATAGTAGTAATAGTAATAGTGTGTGTTGGGGGGAGCAGCTGGTTGTGCAAAACACTGTACCTGAGAGAGCTTGAAAATTTTCCTCACCTTAACAGAAGGAGAGCTCAATAAACCCGCAGATGGTTCAGATTTCTCTAGTCCTACCTGGAAATCTGGCCATACTTTTTTACCATTTAATCATAGTTTTGGTCTCTACTGCTTTTTTATGTTATAATCACGTAATATATGTGAATGTTAAACATTTTTCCCTTTCTCCTGTGGTCATTTCACGTCTTAAAATTGCAAGTTTGACTTTAAAGTCTGATGAATGTTCACACAGACTGACTTTTGAGTGCTGAATGGTGTTGTTGCTTGTTTGCGTAAGCATGTTTATTAGATTAAGCAAACAGTTTGTGAAAAAATGAAAAAGCAGTAGGTTTTCTGCTTTTGACCCAGAAATCAGGCAGGCAGCTATGGGATAATGCAGGTTCTTGTTAATTTTTCCAGATCGGTGTGACACAGCATGTGATTCCAGCAGTAGAGATCTGCCAAAGTGGGTATTTAGCACCGATTGCTAATCTGGCCTTTGCTCTTATACCATGGCTCTTCCAGGTTCTGTCTCTCCTATCCTCTTGGATTTCCTCTTTGCAGAAAAAAGAACGTGAATTTATTTTTAGGCCTTTTCAAGGAAAAAAGTTCTTCTGAGACAGATTTAAAGGAAATGTTTTCTTGCAGGTGGATATTAAAAAAGGATAGTTCTTGGAAGGAGCAGTCTGTAGCTAGATGTTCTGACCGGATAATATGCTATGCTTGTGTTTCCTGAGGGTATGTTGGGAAGTAAGAGTGAGGAGGCTCACAGCTTTTTCTGCTCTGTGATGAGGTGAGCTGTGGTGGTAGTTTTGTGTCTGGAATAGTCTGCGGTTATGATCCACGTGATCTAACAAGACCGCAGATGTTTCTAATGAGGAGTTGAAGGGGCAGGTTACTGTGAACAATTTCTGGAGAATGAAAGTGAAATATTATGGAAAAAACAGGGGGTTAGAAAATACCCCTAATTCGGTCTAAGTGCGCAATGTCTCTGGTCATGGTATGATAAGTGTTTAAAGCCAGTCTCTGTGCATATGCATATGAACAAAGTTCTGGCAGTTTTCATAATCGTGACTTTTGATCTATACATTTCTGCATGGTAATAGTTCAATAAAAATATAGCCGGGAGACTTGTTGTTAACACTGCTTTGTGAATCCTTGAAGGGGAGCTATTCATTTTCCCTGCCTTGGAAAACATCATTATAGATTGTACCTCATGCCAAAAGCAAAGGGCTTCCAAAAACCCGAAAAAGTGGCCTTAAAAAGATTTCAGAGAACTGTCCTCTTTTTCCTCCTCTGCGATTCAGTGATCTGCCCCAGTTGAGTTCCTCTGTGCATCCAGATTTTTCACATCCATTATTCTTCATTAGCTTATCTTTGGCATGAATGAAGAATTAAGGAATCTTGGGGCCCTCAGAGATTACATTCCAAGAAAAAATGAGAGAGCGCTACATAACTACATGCACTTTTTTGTCTTTTTTTTTTTAGTATCTTGAATGTAAAGGGGAGTGGTGGTATTTATTTCTGTTCCCGTAGTTCTTAGTGGTATTGTGTTATTAGGTGCAAGATAGTGCCCTTCAATGCATTACAGTCTGAAATACAGTTTACATATACAGTTTATACTTGGTAGGGAGGATGGAGTAGAGAATATGTTTATGAAATGTAGGTATGGCACCAACCTGGGAATGTTTGCAAGAGGTCAGAATCAGCAATTAAAATTGTTTTGATATTTTAGAGAAAGTAAGATTGCAAGATTAAAGTCAGGGAAGCGCAAAGCATTGCACTTTGAGAGAATTAAAAAAAAACCACAAATACAATATTGGGACTAACTGACTCATTACCGATACTGTAGAAAAGGATCAAAGGAGAAGAAATTGAATATGGTTCATTATTATCTTACTGACATGTGTTAATAGATACATCATGTGAAGGACAGGAAGGGGGGAAGGTATGGTAATTATTTAATGGAGTGCTGCCAAGGCCTTTGATAGAGTACTCTGTCTCGTTTTGAGCGTTGTGCTTTAGGTAAGCTGAAAAAAGAACAGGAGAGTCAAGAATGGTAGGAGTATTTGAGTAGGAGTTGAAAAAATTTGGCTCGCCCCATCTGGGAGGCTGGTTGCTGTCTGTCTCCCCTGCAGGAAGGGCAGAAGGAAGTCAGTTTCATTTGCAGGAAAACAGGGAATATGATGAAAGTTTTAATTTAAGGACAGGGAAATTGTAGGTGGGAGGTCCCTCATTAGCAAGTTTAAAGAATAAGCAGTTTATAGGCAGGTGGGGATGGGTTATAGGTACCTTCACACAGGAGGTGAGTTCGTGACATGAGGTCTCTCCCTGTCCTACAGAGGTTTTTTCCATTCATTCTTCAGACAGGAATGGATGTCTCAAGCCATCATCTCCAGATTGTTTTGTAGTTATGTACTAATTATATATCTTAATATGAAGGCTAGTAGGACTACTTTATCATCACTCTAAGTTCGTTCGGCAAGATACGCTGCTCCCTGTAGCCAAAGAAACCCCACCAGTATCTTTGGAAGAGACCTTCGTGCCAGCTGCTTGGTGACCTGCCTGTCGTCATCGTGCATGCGCTGTTTTGACTGCCATTACGTGCTGTGTCCGGATCTGTTCCCTGACTCCGTCACAATCTGGGGAATCTCCCTGTGCACAGCTTGGGGTTTCTGCTTGATACCTCTCTGACCAAGTCTGGTCCCATGTTCTCGCTGGCAGGCTGCAAGCTCCTTTCTGAACAGGAGGTATGTTTGCCTTCTCTGTTGCTTTTTATCTCCACACTGAATTCTCATACAAGAGATGTCTGTGCACAGGACTAGTAATGCAAAGTCAATATGTTTGTTCAAATTCAAAATGCTTGGCTCTTACAAAGGGAAAGCCTGTTTTTCAAATCGGAAATGCCAGGCAAGGTGATACAGTCAGATGATGGGGCTGAGCTGTGGTTCACCTCACAAAGGGGACTGAAAACTCACTAGATGAATCTTTCATTAGCAGTAAGGCCCAGGGAGAGGGAAGACACTGAGAGGAGATTCAGTGGATTTTTCTGGGAAGAGGCAGCTTGAAATCCATAAATATCTGTGGGCTAAGGCCAAATGGTGTTCATCAGTGAAGCAGAGAAATGAGAACATGTGTTGTATTGCTTTATCTAGTAGCATCTCTGCATTTAGCTTATCCTACAGTGGAGAATGCACGGTTTTGGAGCCCTTCGCAAAATCATCAGTATGTGTCTGCAACTACTATTGAAGATAAGAGCTGCCCAAAGGGGGTATAGCCACAAAACACCCAGTGCCTGGGAGCGCAGCGCTGGGCTGAGGAGCATTTCTGTGGCCATCAGCATTGTTTCAAGGGATCTCAGACAGGAAAACCAAGAACCTGCGCGTCTCTGCAGGGGAGCTGACAGAGATCCTCTGTCCGTGGAGTGTGCCTGAGCCACCAAGGACAGGAACAGAGAGCTTAAAACGGGTCTAGTAGAACCACCCCCATCCTGCCTAAAAATGTCAGCAGCACTTGACTCTTATTAGAACTGTGGCAGTTTCATTTTACCTCCATTTTTCCTATAACATCTTTTCTCATCTAAGTGCTGGCTACTTTCGATCAGCCACAACCAAATTTTGCCAGCATTTTTTCTGAATGTGAGAATAAAGCATTTTAAATAGCCTTGTTTCTTCTAACAGTCCTCTAGGACAGACTTACCTCTACTCTGGTATGTAATTTCTGTTTCTTCATAGTTTAAAAGAAGTTTAAAGAAATCTAGGAAATTTTTTACCCTTGTCAGTCCAGTGCTAGTGTAATAATTATTGTTAGCGTTTGTGGAACTACCCAAAATGTATTTTTTGAAACACTAACCAAAATTGTGCCCTCAACATGAAGCGCAACAGCTTTTTTAGGACATAGCAGTATTATGCAGGTAGAAGCTAATGGGGCACACCACGTTTTGCAGGGGCTGGAGGGACCTCCTTTCCAAAACATAACGATGTCAATGCTATCCCTTAAATAGGCCTTCGGGGACTTCATAGGAGACCCCTTTCCTTCAGTCCCTCAATGCAGTATACAGGAGTTCCTGCATACGCCGGTTTGTTTGAGTGGGTTTTGTTGGGGGGGGGGGGGGGGGGTTTTTGGTGGGGGTTTTTTGGGGGGGGGGGGGGTTGCTAAATCTGTGTGAAAAGAGTATTCCAAGTGTTCTGGTTTCGTTGTGACTCGCCGTGTCCCATCACCAAAAGAGCTTAGTAGCAAAGCAGTGAGACAATAGAGTTTTTAAAAATGCAGACCAGCTCTCTAGGACACAAAAAGCCACAAGCAAAGCAAATATAAAGCAGAATGCCAGCTTGGCCATAACAGCTGGATAGCTTTCTGTTTGCCACTCAGATGTGTCTCATCTGTCAGCAGTGGGAAACCAAAGTTCAGAAAGACAGCTTGCCTCCCAGGTGACTCGCAGCTCCCTGGAAGAGACACCTCGTACGTGATTAATGTAGGTGACAGTAGGACATTCCTCTGTCTGGGCGTGTTTGTAACAGAAAATTCCTTCTATGTGAAGGTTTTCTGCCACAGTGAAAAGTAGGGTTGTGTGAAGTGATTTAAGGTACAAGAATATAGTTGCATACAGGTACGTTGTAAGGCTAGCAGTATTAGTATTGTTAAAAATACTGTTACCAGCCAAAAACAGGCAAGTGTTGTGCAGTCTCATAGCGAATTCCAGTCCCTGTGTCAAAGAACTTATGCACTACCACTGAATAGGATGTAGTTATAAATAGATGCCATAACAAATCGACGGGAAAATAGGGTGGACACATAGTGATCGTAGGAAGTCATGGACGTGCTGGAGCGGGTCCAGAGGCGGGTCGGAGGGCTGGAACACCTCTCCTATGAAGAAAGGCTGAGAGCGTTGGGGTGGTTCAGCCTGGAGAAGAGAAGGCTCCGAGGAGACCTAACTCCGACCTTGCAGTATAGAAGGGGGTCTTACAAGAAAGGCAGAGAGAGACTTTGACCAAGGCCTGTTGTGACAGCACAAGGGGCAGTGGTTTTAAACTGAAAGAGGGTAGGGTTAGATTGGACATAAGGAGGGGATTTTTTACGACAAGGGTGGCGAGGCATTGGAACAGGTTGCCCGGAGAAGTTGTGGGTGCCCCATCCCTGGCAGTGCCCAAGGCCACGCTGGATGGGGCTTTGAGCAACCTGGTCTGGTGGTGGGTGTCCCTGCCCGTGGCAGGGGGTTGGACTGGATGATCTTTAAAGGTCCCTTCCAACCCAAACCATTCTCTGATTCTATAATTTAGCTTTTATGCAGGGGGGCAAAATAAGGTATTTCTGTTTCATAGGGGTTTGAAGTTGATTTCATTGATTAAGAAGGAACTTCCAGAATATCCCTGTTTCTCTTGTCCTCAACCAAACCAACGTCCATAGATTTTCCATAGAAGCAATATGATTCTTCTCAGAAATCTCTTCTGTCAGTCTTTGGCCATCCTTCAAGGCAGACACTGGGCACTGTAACAACAGTCCTCGACTCCTGCGTGTTCCTCCTGGAGTGCAGAGCTCCCAGATACGAGACAGCATTTACCCCTTGGGGTTATTTCCTTCTAGAGTGCACGACCAGTAGTTGGTGGGGGATGCAAATGTGATGGGCTTTGGCTGAGCCAGCCCGCAGCCAGGTGAAGGGACTGCTGTCCAGCTCCCTGCCTCACTGCAAAGTAGCGAAGGATGAGTTAATACTCCTGTCTTTCAGGTTAGGAAACAAAGCTGTGAAATTTCACAAATTTTACTGATTTTCTGAGGCTAGCTCCTCATCTGAGCCTTATGAGGAGCGGCTGAGGGAGCTGGGGTTGTTTAGCCTGGAGCCAAGGGGAGCCCTCATCGCTCTCTGCAACTGCCTGAAAGGAGGCTGGAGCCGGGGGGGTCGGTCTCTTCTCCCCAGGAACAAGCGATGGGACGAGAGGGAACGGCCTCAAGCTGCGCCAGGGCAGGTTTGGGTTGGGTATTGTGAAACACTTCTTCATGGAAAGGGCTGTCAGGCCCTGGCCCAGGCTGCCCAGGGCAGGGGCTGAGTCCCCATCCCTGGAGGGATTTAAAAGCCGGGGAGATGTGGTGCTCGAGGACATGGTTTAGTGGTGGCCTTGGCAGTGCTGGGCTAACGGTTGGACTCGATGATGTTAAGGGTCCTTTCCAACCCAAGTGATTCTACGATTCTACGATCCTGCAGGCACGGTCCGAGTTAAACAGCCCCTGTCCTCTTCCCAACTGGAAGTGGTGTGCAGATTGACCACTGTCATCTTGGCATTCTCCACACAGGGACGGATAAGGAGATACAGTGATAGGATTTAGCCTTTAGCCAGTAAAATTCTCCTGTCAATAGCTTTTCATTTTGTTTATTACAAAGCCACAGTTCTACTAGGTATTTAGCTACAGCTTTATAAACTTGGAAGTTGTTTGTTTACACATTCAATTTTGTTTTAAAAATATTTTGGTGAGAGAGTGCTGCTTGGTTTCTGTGAATTGTAACTGACAAATAGCTTCTCATTTTCATGTTATGCATATTTTAAGCAAAAGCCTAGATGCAGTCTGACCTGTGGATGAGTTGTCATAAGTTTGATGATAGTCTTTGACAATTTTCTGATGCCGATAGCTTAATTTGCACAGTCTGTGTGAGTAAATGCTAAGGTAACGTAAGAGAGAATACAGTAAGTATTATTATGTTGAATGCTTTGCTGATGCAACAAATGTTTTTTTCTTTTATCCTGAATCATTATTTTTTTCCTTTTTTGTCATAGTGCCTTTGACTTGGTAAACATTCACCTTTTCCATGATGCTTCCAATTTAATTGCTTGGGAAACAAGCCCATCGGTTTACTCAGGAATACGGCATAAGGCTCTTGGCTATGTACTTGATAGGTATGTATTGGCCTTTACTAGCCTCTTTCAATCTTCTGTGTTCATAAGCAGTGTATAAAAGATGTTTCGAAAGGCACATCAGAAATGTAGAGATTTTTATTCTGTGAACTGAAAATGGTCACTTCTTATCAGAGTTTTCTAGACTGTGCCAATTACAGATCTGTTTATGATGCTTATTCTTTTAAGCTAAATTACTGAGATTGGAGAATCTCTCTGAAGTCACCAGAACTTGTGGAGTAGAAAGCAGGTTTATTTTTTAAATGTGCTTGTTAGATTAACTTTTTTTTAGTCTGCGTGGAGTCTAATAAAGCTGCCATTCAAGTATGTTTTCAGCTACAAAATAATAGAATAATTCCGGTTGGAAGAGACCTGTGGGAGTCTCTTGTTCATCCTCCTGCTCAGAGCAGGGCTGACTTCAACATCAGATCGGGTTGTTCAAAGCTTATCCAGCTGAGCTTTGAAAAGCTCCACGCACGGTGATTTCCAGCTCCTCTGGGCCACCCGTTACTGCGTTTGGCTGTCCTCACTGTGAAACCTTTTCTCCCTAATATCCAGTCGGAATTTCCCTCAGAGCAGTTTGTGTCCATCGCCCCTTACCTTTTGGCGTGCATTGCTGAGAAGAGTCTGGCTCTGTCTTTTCTGTAACTACCAGAGCAACAACAGCAACAAAAAAAGCCAGCAACAAAATCCTCCCGTAGCCATCTTTTCTGTAAACTGATCAAATCCAGCTCTTTCAGCCTCTCCTCATAAGTCACAAGCTCCAACCCCCTCAACATTAAACCCCGTGGTGTTTTAATCTCAATACTAGCTGAGTGCAGTAGGCAGCTAATCTTTTTCAAGCAGCAGCACAGCATTTGTGTGCAGTCATCACTGTTATTAATAACATCATGGTTTTTAATGGTGTTACGGAGTTGATTCATCTGATGGGTGGTGCAATACAGAGGATGGTCCCAAAAATACCCAACAATTTACAGCTGCCCTAATTAGAAGTTATAAAGTCAGAAAAAAAGACAGCTTTTTCTTGAGTAAGAAAAAATTCTTTCTGCATGGGCATACGTGTATTGGCAAAGTAAATCGGTATTTCTCTTACAAGGTACTGCTTGACTTCATGTTTGCCTGAGAAATGGACCTTTAAAGTGTCTCTTCAAAGCAACCGTGGCATACACTGTGATCTGTGGCACGGGATGGTGCTTAAAACACACTGCTTAGGCTGGACAAAATAAAAGCAGAGCACTTTATGTGCCGTTTTCCTGCCCCAGTCCCTGCTGTCCGGTGGCCCGCAGCCGTGTGCAGCGTGCCGGGGCTGCCTCCGGCAGCATTGCCGGGGGGGCCAGCGTGTGCCAGGCTCGGAGAGCTCTGCAGCGAGACCCCAGACGAGCCTGGGACTGCTGCTGCCCTTCCCCATAGCGAAGCTTGGGCAAGGGTCGCTCGGCTGGTCTTGCTGTGGGGCACCGAGTGCTGCGGCGTGGGAAGTCCCAGCCCCATGGTGCTGAGCCCCGTCCCACCGCCCAGCACAGACCAGCAGCGGGTGCCACCTCGGTGGAGAGGGCTAGCGCGTTGCGGCTAGCTGAGGGGAGGAGAGCAGGCGCCTGGGACTCGTGGGGAGTCATTGCTCAACACGGCTTAGACCGTGGCAAGGGGCAAGGGGGCTGAGGGACCGGGGCAAGGGGGCTGAGAGGAAGGACAGGCTTGATGCCTCTCTTCCTTCTGGCATCTGCTTGCAGCCTTCCCTGTGTATGGCAAATGCAGTGAGGAGTTCCCCACCGACAAGTAGCTGTTCACTCTCGTGACTCTTTCTGGCAGCGACCTAGAAGTTAAAGACACTCCTGAACCAAATTAAGTTATGCGTTGAAAAATGTCTTTGCATATGCAGTGTTGTCATTTTTCCCTATGTAGATTTTCACTGAAAAAGGTTCTGAAATGTGGAATGGAGTATAAATACCTTTTCAATCACATTCTATCCAAAGTTTTATTTCTTCCTGTAAGTTTTATTTTATTTAAAGACAGGCAGATATTTTATCAAAAGAGACCGCTTTTTCCACTGTGTATAAAGAAGTGCTTTTCCTGTGCACCCCAGCAGAGGGCTAAGTAGGAGTTTCTCCAAAATAAGCACTTATTTTCACTTTTTGGGGTGATGCAAGGATGAAGAGGAAAAATCCAGTATGTCTTGTCTTGTATCACTTGTAAAACCTGTCCAAATTATCAGAAAACACTGGAGGCACTTGGAAGGTTTGCAAATAGGTAGCACGCAGTGGTTTATGAAAGATCCCTTATTTAGGGGACAGAGACGCAGTAAGATCAGGATCAGTGCAGTTTGAGACACAGATTTTTGAGTTCTGTTACATAGAGCAGCGTGGGAAAGGCCTATTTTTATTTCATTTTTTCTTGGCTCCTTTGGTCTCCTCTCCTTTTCTTATGCTTTGCACGAGGGAACTTTAGCAAACCTGTATAAACCTTTTGCATTATTTATTGCACACTTGTTTACAGCATACAGTGTGCTTCATTAGCTAATTTTGGCTTTGGACCTCCCACGATGCCCTGGCAAGGGTAAGGTAATAAGACGGTAGTATTAGTGTCAGCCGTGGGTCAGAGATGTCATGATGGTATATCATTAAAATGTGACACTGCCAAAAACTGCCCCAACTCCCCTGTCCTTAGAAAAGAAAACCTTCGATTTTAGGTTGCACACTACTACTGTGAGCTTGCATCCAGATGAATTGTTCATTTTGAGAGAGCAGCCAGCCGCAGATCCGGACCTCCATAGTGAAATGATGGGCTGACTCGCACAAAAGGGGAGTTCTGTAAGAGCAGTGAATAATGGGAAACCCCTTTCATCGGCATTGCTAACCTTTTGGCAGCCACCAGCAAACTCTATTCTGATCTGCTGATTGGGGAGGACAATACACTGAAGCTCACTTTGAATGAATGCTACCACCAACAGTGTCCCCATTCAGAGGGTTTTGGGAACCATCTTTGACCATTGTCTGCCATCACTCCTTCAGACAGTAGGAAAAGGGAAAGTGAGAGTGGCTATAGGGGGGAAAGTACTTCTTTTCTTGGCTTTAATCTCTCTTTAAAGCTTCATAGATCTACATTTCCAGCTGAGCTACTGGAACTATGCAGTGTCAGATAAATACAGAAGAGAGAGGTTTCAAGCTGAGCTTTTAAATCCCCTTATCTGCATGAACTAATAATGCAGATTTAGTGCTGTTAAAAACAGAGACTGATAAGTCTTTTCCTTTAAAGCCTTTAAACTGCTAAAGAGCATTTAACAGCAATGCAGTTCAAACCCAGTGAACAATACTGAGAAGGAAAACAGTTTAATGAGCTAAAGCTTCACTGAATGAAACAAGCACCTTCTCACAGTTGATGTGGGTCATTGGGGAGTAAGTGAAAGCGCCGTTCTGCTCACGCTGCATCTTCATAAACATGAATTAAGTACAGCCTTTTCATGTAAGGTAAAAGCTATCACAGGACTTTGAGACACAAAAAAGGAAAGAGTTTGCAAATAAAGCTCAGATTAATTCTTTTAACTGTTAAAATCATCAGGGAAGTTGGCTTCCCCAAAATTATTTTAACTCCAAGGTTTTAACTCGTAGGCACAAAGCGGCACAACATCTCTAAATTACTGAGACGGGGAGGGGCAAAACAGAGGAAAAAGTGTCAAGTGAATGATTCAAAGTTGCTGCTAAAAGTTTTCTCCTGAGGGAATCTATTAATAATCATAATAGCATGTTTGGGGAGGAGGAAGGTTTAATCTTACAATGGTGTTCTGAAGTGATTCAGCTTTAATAATGTTTAAAATGAATTCTACAGTGAGAAGAATGCTTTTAAAGACAGCTAGCTGGTATGCGTTGAGCCAGATTGTTCCTAGCGTTTGCCAGTTAGCAAGCGTGAAGAAAAGGTGGTGTTAGATAGACCTTTTAAAGACTAAGAGAGTTGGAATTACACTGGTGTTAAGCAAATATTGGCTTGTATATTTACAAATACATATACAGTGTGTATGTAGAAAATTGGCGCGTGTAATGAGTCTTTGTCAACGCTAATGTAAACCCAGACTAAATTCCCAGAAGTTGATTGCGTTGTTCTGGGCAGACACAGATACAGTCAAAACTGATTTTGCTTTACAAACGAGAATAAGGACACCTGCTTTCTATTTTTGGGGGCAAAAAAATTCTTCCGGGGCCATTTTGGATAATTCCCCTGTACAGTTAGTCCTATTTGCGTAATACTTGCATTTTTGTATTTTCTAAAGTTGGAGGGTTTAAACTATACGTGAGAGTAAGAAAGGAAATGTAGTTTACATTTTAGTTTAGTCTTTCATACATCTGCTGTAATTAATGCTTGTGCCTATGTCGTATTAATTAATCATATTGGCTTATTAGTCATGTCCTTTAGACACTTGCTGGGGAAAAGCGTCTACTGAATTTAATACCTTGGCTAGGGAATGAGTAGAAGCTGTAGGATAGGGTCCTTTAAAAGTATTAGAAGAGAGTTTGTGAAGGACAAGGACGTGAGATGTTAGCCTGATAATGTGGTTCTTGGTGTGCCAGCCATTTAAACTTCCTGAAATTATCTAGAGCATTCAGATCCATAAAATGAATGTGTTTTTTTTTAAAGAAAGTGACAGTGCTCTTCTGTTTTCCTATTGAAATGTTCCCTGGACTAGTTCAACAGAAACATTTTTACATTACAACTGTGAAATCTTGGCATAAAGCTCCCCTTTGTGCCCTTCATTATTTTCTCACAAATATAGTCCATTGTCACATAGCTGAAGTTAATTTGATCAACATTGGGACATTTAACTTTTATGTCCGGTCAAAGGAGCTGTTTCATGCTCATTTTGGGTATTCAAAAGAAATGATTGCCAGAAAAATAATGTTACTATTAACAATTCAGAGCAATTAGTTTCCCAGGGAGAGGCGATGTGATGCACCGGCTCCACACAACTATTCTTTGTCATTTTATGGATGCTCATCAGTCAACTGTCACATCTTCTC